GCAGGTTCTGTGTGAGAGAGAATAAATAAAGAGAGCCCAATATTTAAAAAAATTGTTATTCTTTTTCCCCGCATATTTAGCATATTTCCGCATATTTCGCAACTTCCCGCAATTTCACCGCATAAAATCACATAAAACCCCCGCATAATCAAGGATTTTAGCCCGCATAATCAAGGAATTTTGCCCGCATTTTTCTGGAGGGTCTATAAAGACACAGCCACGCAAAAACTGCGGCATGTGTACGGCTCCTTTGGATATTGCAATTTTTGGAAGTGCCGGAGTGGGGTTCTGGTGCTCTCCGTCAGAACTGCACCCCTGTCAGACGAGACATATACCACGTGATGACACGTTAGGCTCGTGTTGTGTTCAAGGACCCTGACCTTGGCTAGGAAAAACAGGCACTCGCTTGTTTAATTTTTTTGCGGTCTAGATTTCTCAATTTTTTTTCTTTTTTGCGAGTGTTTATAAATTACCTCGAGGGCCGTACCAAATTGTCTCGCGGGCCGTATACGGCCCGGGGGCCGGAGGTTCCCCACCCCTGGGTTAGATAAACACCTGTCACAAGTTCCAAGCCCATAAGATATTTCAACAATTGATTTACTATTGATATGATGTAATCTAACGATGGTCTTCCTGTGTTTGCTCTCTGCAGGAGAGTCTGGGCGGTCACGTCAGACTGATCATCACAGGAGCGGCTCCGGTGGCTCCGACCATCCTCACCTTCCTACGAGCCGCTCTGGGCTGTCAGGTGAGCGGCCTCCACTCCACCATCTCACATTCCTTTGGCTAATCTTTATCAATTAGTTTTATGTTCATACATGTCACTAAAAACCCGCTCTGCTCTCCACAGTTTTATGAGGGCTACGGTCAGACTGAGTGCACCGCTGGCTGCTCCATGTCCATGCCCGGGGATTGGACCGCAGGTAAAACCCCCCGTCTGTTCTCGTGTAGTGAAGCCTATGAGAGACATTTAAACAATTCTTTCTGTGAACTTTGAAACTAAACTGTGATGATTTTGTGTCTCCAGGTCACGTCGGGCCTCCTCTGCCCTGCAACGCTATCAAACTGGTGGATGTGGCAGAAATGAACTACATGGCAGCCAATGGAGAGGGAGAGGTGAGGAGTGCTATTCAGTAACAATCAAATGCATGAAGTCAGTGGAGGAAAAAAGTATTTATTGGCTGTAATTAACAACAGGTTTGGATAGAAATAATGAACTCAAAGTATAATTATTCTTAAGAAAAACCACAGTGACTTCACTTGAAGCCTCAATGCCATACCAATTACTTTTAAGAATACAAAAGCAGAAATACCATTTGCACGTGTGTGACATCTAGTGTTTCTTCACTATAATGAACATGGTCAGTGAAGCTTACCCTACAAGCTGCATATCAGGCAGAATTAATAAAAATACAGTGGAAAATGTACAATAAATCATTAATTAAAGTGTAGGATATGAATTACTATTATTATTAAAACACTTTTCTCTGCAGCAGAAAGATCTTAACACGAGTAAAACATGGATAAGCAAATGTTTCATTCGGTTAAAAGTAAAGACAGCCTGTCAACCTACTCATTATGACAATGCTGATGTTCAGCTAATATAATGTTTACAATGTTCACATGCCATGTTTTTACAATGAATCTTAAACACAAATTACACCTGCAAAATAACAAATAACTACACAACTTAAGTGTCGGACAAATATAACATTTTTAACTGATGGTGGCGCCACGTTAAAGGGGATCCCTAAAATGATAGCAATTTATCCTGAGGGAAATATGTCCTTCAATAAATATGATACAAGCCATCCAGCAGATACTGAACTATTTCACAGGTCAACTTAAATATTTGCCCTGCTGGTGGATCAAACGTCAGAGGATAACCAATGTCACATTGATTCTCTAGGCATCATAAATATCTGTTTGGACATTTCTGAAAAATTCCCCTCTTATATTCGTTGAGATATTGCAGCCTGTACTAAAATGGTGCCATTAACAGAGTAACCGTTATTGCTCCCTAGCGTTGATATACACTTGATATAATCTGCACGTGTGCTTGCTTCTAAATTTCATGAACTCTATCATCTCTCCCTCCAGGTATGTGTCAAAGGACCAAACGTTTTCCTGGGATACCTGAAAGATTCCGAGAGAACTGCAGAGGCCATCGACGAGGACGGATGGCTGCACACGGGAGACGTCGGGAAGTGGCTTCCTGTAAGTAGAAAGAATGTTGAAGGGCTCATTCATCTTTAATTATGAGTACATGTAACACACCTCGTGCATTATATTGTTGTATGCAGTGAACTGGGGGCAGTAGCTAAACCTATGATGTCATCAAATTGTGAAAACAGTGTTTGTTTAAGTCAGGGGTGTCAAACTCAAGGCCCAGGGGCCAAATCCGGCTCGCGACTTCATTTGATGTGGCCCGCAAGAGCTTGCAAAGAATATAATACGTTATTATACAGTTACATGCCACTGCTACAGACGATATGTCCCACAATGCATCGCGCACTGTGACATGCGCACTGAAGAGAGAATTATTTGCCCTGGACTTCTGCTTTCAGACGTAGTTAATTACCCTATCCGATAATAATCCAATTCAGAGGCAATAATGTGATATAATACATTATATTATATATTTATATAGTTATAACCGGCCCTTTGAGTGCAACCATAATGCTAATGTGGCCCGCGATGAATTTGAGTTTGACAACCCTGGTTTAAGTCATAACAAATATAGCACATCCCAGTATATGTAGTATGTGATAAAGATATAGTTAAGTCATAAAAATGTCAGTATGTTGTAAAGAAAAATGATGGTAGATAAAAGTTATACAAATACACTGACCATGGATAAGTGTATCTCATAAAACCCTCTTTTTTTGTTCTTTTTTTGCAGAACGGCTGTCTTAAAATCACTGACAGAAAGAAGCACATTTTCAAGCTGGCACAAGGAGAGTACATCGCCCCCGAGAAAATAGAAACGGTGTATAATCTCAGTGATCCAGTGGCCCAGATATTTGTTTACGGCGAAAGCTTACAGGTGAGTTCATGAATGTGTAAACATCAGATATTCTTATCATAATGTGCAGTATCAGTTTCTAGTTTGGTTCAATATGTGTGGCTCTGATGTCCTTGTTGTGTTTCTAAGGCATGTCTGGTGGCGATAGTGGTTCCTGATCCAGACTTTTTACCTATTTGGATGAAGAAAAGGGGGATCGAAGGCTCCTACTCTGAACTGTGCAGTAACAAGGTGAGGTGTCACTGTCCGCTGCTCACACACACAGCCATTTGCTATGTGAGCTAACGTGTGTGTGACTGTTTGTAGGATGTGAAGAGCGCCATTCTGGAGGACATCCTGAGGCTGGGCAAGGAGGCGGGACTCAAGTCCTTCGAGCAGGTAACTGTTGCCATGTTTTATCAAAATGCTTCATTTTTAAATTACATCTGAAATGATTAGTCGATTCATTACTCTCACTGACAGACCAATAGTCTGAGTGTATTTTGATGTTTTTTAAGACAATTACATCGAATCAGTTTTTGAAAGGACAATGAATATTACTTTTGGACTACATTTGAATAAGATAAGATAGAACTTTATTGATCCCAATTTGCGTTGCAGCAGCATAATGGCATGGCATTGTACAAATGAAAAGACAAGAAAGTATTTTATACTTTGTTTATTTCTTTCTAGTCTTTTGTGAGAATATACAGTGCAATTAAGATGTAGTAGTCTTTGTATTTATCTTTATTTGCAGACATTATCTTGTAAAACACTATTTTTGGTTGTATTAAAATAATTCACAAAGTAATTGTATGTTGCAATTACTAATAGATGTTAGTTGTAATTGAGACACTGCATCAAATGTTGCTTTTTGTTCCTCCTCTGCAGGTGAAAGACATTGCGTTACACACCGAGCTGTTTTCTATCCAGAACGGCCTGCTGACCCCCACCCTAAAGGCCAAGAGGACTGAGATTCGTAACCGCTTCAAAGAGAACATTGATGAACTTTATGCCAAAATTAATATGTAAACTGGGATCGAGGAGTACAGAAGGTGACCATTCAGAGCACACCGCCAGAACCAAATAGTTAATGGAGGGGAAGTATGTATTGTTCCTGTACCGCTAAAGGGTCCCTGCTGTCACCATGTTACTGGAATCACTTATCTAAGGGTTGAGGTTAAAAACACACAAAGGGGAAATCTGACTTGCTCATGCCTTAAAACTGCCTTCGACTTCTCCACCGTCAGAAGGTAAACACATTTCTGCCAATTTTGTATTCTTGGGAGCCGCAGAAAGAAATCCTATTAACACGCTTTGACATCTGTGACTAATATTGAGTATTAATGTTTTGGTCTATCTATTTAAGTCGGTATTTAATGTAATCATTCAACTGTAAATATTGTATCTGCTAAAAAGTCTATTTGTATGCAGAGTATTTTGCCTGATACTCAGTGGTTTAAATTTCCTTCATTCCCGTGTGTCTCCATGCTTCTGAAGGACTGATGAACCCTTTCCTGTGCACAAGTTAGAAATTAGAGTTTTGGGAAGATTTACAGACTTTTGGTGCCTTTTTGTGTTTTTTTGTTTAACACTGCACAGGAAATAGTGAATGTTACTCTTCTGAACATGATGTTGCTCTTATTTCACATTTGGTTGTCATAGGTCGCAGGATAAAGCTGCACTTTGTCCGTTGTATTACACTTGAGGTTTCTGGGTAAATATTTTAAACAACAAAGATTTAATGGATCACTTTTCATTTGAAGAAGCACGTTTTTAAAAGAGATTTAATGTTCTTGTCGACATTTCAAGTTAACTTTTATGTAAAACGGCGCAGCATTTCAGTTGTCATGAATTCAGATGTTAAGTCTCACACACAAACACGTCGAGGCCTCCTTGACATTTCAAGCCATATTGTTCTGTTTTTTTTAAACACTCTGAAATGAAAAGGGCGAAGGTTCAGTTTTCGGCCAAGTAAAGTGTCTTTATTTTCTCAACTGTACGAAATAAACACTTTCTCCAAGAAGGGTAGTTTTTCTTTCATAAAGAGGGGAACAATAATAATTATGATCCCTAAAAAAATACATCCCTCATGTCTATAGCTGCCCACCGCTCCTAGTACTAGACTCCTGGTATAGGATGGGTTAAAAGCAGAGGCCAAATATCACTGTGCTATGTGTGACCATTAAAGAGCATTATACAGGAACTTTGCTCCCCCTATTAGTCATTCCTAAGCACCATTTAAACCTTTTCTCTAAATGGTTAATCACTTATATAAAAGGCAGCATTAGGGATACTTTAAATGTTTATAATGAAGAATTGACCTTTCCTCTAAAGGCCTATATTAAAACTGTTTTATTTATTGTCATCCATTCATCCGTTTATACAACAGGCTTCAATTACAAAAGGAGTTTGACTTTTTGACAAATCAATAAACATACGTAGCTTGCAAAATATAGTGGCTTATAAACTATTTATTACATGTTGGTCAATTATAAATAGGAGGACATTTGGTAAAGTGGGTGCAAAATAACATAAGACTCACCCTCTAATGGGAGTCAAAGTCTGCCATACATTTGAGCAGAAGCAGATCAGGGATATCCCCGCTTTTTTGTTCAAAGTCGTCCAGGCTGTGTAAATAGTCCTGGTCGTCGTCCCCGTCCCCCCAGCCGTCTGCAGGTCCCTGCTCTGGACACACTGTCCTCTGGGGGGTCGAGGCCTGGCTGAGTTCAATGTTGCCGGCATCGTCCATTAAGTAGGCCTGGTCCTCCTCGTCCTGTAAGAGAAGAGAAGACACGATCATACACTGCTGCATGTTGAGGAGAACAACATGGGTTTGAGATTTAGAAGAAGACAACATTATTTCATGGCAAGTTAAGCGTAGGTAGGAGTAAAGAAAAAGAAGCAAACCAGTGTCATGATGTAGCTGACGCAGATCTCCTGTGGCAGTGGGTAGCCTGCAACGTCAAAGGACACGTTCTCAGACACCATTTTGCAATATGCCAATCCAAAAACATCACGCGTGCTAGAGTTGTTGTTTGTTTTAAATGCGGCACTTAGGATCATTGCTTACTTGAGGACCTGAAGTTCCTGCACTCAGGGTCGAGACACTTCTGGTACCACGCTTCCTCTTTGAGGTCAACAACAACCCTGCAGAGGAAGGTGAGACAGAATCAGAAGGGAAGTGGAGCGCACTTTTAAGGCCCTGACACACCAAGCAGTCACCAGAGAACTCGCCGATGCCGACGCCGACTGTTGCGTCGGCGTGTTCTCCTGCGTCTTGGCCATGTGTCGCACTGGAACACACCACAAAGACTTCAGCCGAGTACGCACGAACATGCGTGAGTGGCAATAACTCTCTTTACCAGCAGGCGGCGGTAGTGTGTATTCGTCATTAAAAATAGGCAACAACCGGAAGACAGAAGAAGAACAGACTACGTGATATAAACAAACAACAAATAGCGTGTGCGTTCCATTTTCACTCTCTTCCATCGAAAACATGTTTCGTGCGGTACTGGAGCTATCAGCCATTGGAATGTTGCTTGTGGAAGACATTCTCAACCAACCGTTTCGCTTCTCATGCACTGATTCGCTAGCTGAACAGCCAATCAGAGTGATTTATTTGTCCGACTGCCTGTGGCCGACGCACGGCCGATTCAACATGTTGAATCGGCCGTGCGTCGGCCAAATAAGGCGGGACACACCAAATTGAGTTTGGGCGACAGGGCACGCTTCGTCGGCCGATTTCGGGCTGGTGTGTCAGGGCCTTAAGACTATCAACTCTCTTCTCTTCTGTGCTAGTATGTGACGACGTACAACTCCTCTTGTTGTACCCAAACTCTAAATCTTCTTCTGTTGTAATAAAGTACCGTTCAATTCGCATCCATCCTCATTTCTTTTTCTTCGTTTGGTCACAGTACTACATCGACTGCGTCTAGAGGACACCGTCACCCATCGGACGTTGCAGTTTCCTGTGCAAGAGTCTGTGGTAAAACGTTATACGGTTAGGTTTTTGTAGTGCGCACGATCTCAACAACAAACAAAATTTACGCCGTGAATCCTAGTAACGAATGAACTCCTGGACTTCAAGGACGTGAGTCCCAGCTCTGTGAAGACCATGGTGCGAAGGAGAAACTCCAGTTGTTGTTGGGACGTCTCCTTCCACTCTGTCTTAGTCTTCCCTTCACCTCGCGTGAAAATTCCGGGACTGTGTGGTTCGTCAGTGGTCTCTTGAGCGGCTACGGCTGCGGCTGACAACGCAGCCGCACAAGAGGACGCAGAACCGGTACACAGCGTGACCTTGTGTGGTGTTTCTGAAGTCGGCTCATGCGTGCTTGTACGCACTCACCGTTATTGAGAGAAATGGTCGTCCGCCGCCATCACACATAAGCAGTAATTTTTATCCGTTGTTGGCCTTCTGTCTTCTTCTTGTCTGATGCACTATATTTGTTTGTTGTTTATCGCACACGCAAGGTAAAAGTGAGAGAAGGTAGCTTTTGTACAAAGCACGCCATGACCTCGATAGTCGGTAACCTTACAACGAACACCTTCTGTAAGAGTTGGTTGGCAAAGCGAAGAGTACGTGACTAAGCGATCGACTTGTCGGTTAGTCTCACTAAATAAACAGGCTGACGGACACCGGCTGCGTGCCGGCTAAGTTGTACAACTTAGCCGGCACGCAGCCGGTTTATTCCGCCCTGTGTGGTTTAACTCAAACCCGCTGTCCCGTGCGAAGCAGCCGGCTAAAGCCCGACCACACAGTCCCGGAATTCTGATAGTTGATAATGGCACCTTTTTATGTATGTACTACAACAACAAAACACTTGAGAAAGGTGCAAACGTTGGGGTCGCCATTAAACGCTCAGCATCTGTTAGTCACAAGTCGTCGTATTCATCAAGTGCAGACTACGGACAACTTAATTTGTACTTTCCTTTGAGCGACTGTTCCTGGTATATTGATGCAAACTACATGTAAATCAACGGTCCATGACTTATTAGGTACAAGTTAATGAAAAAAGAACATTTACTTTTAACTAGCTAGTACTCAAATTGAAATTCTACGCCGTCAAATTAGTTATTATTTTTTCGACCTAAATCGAGATCAAAGTGAAAAAATTGGTTCGTACGTTTTTACAAAAAACCTTCACTGGAGTTGAAAAACATTTGCGTAAATATCATAATCAGGTTTGTGAATGAAGGTACCATCGGAAGGAAAAATTGGTGTCAATTATGTTTCACAGGTGAAGACCATTCCGCTACTTTCACCGTCTCCACTGGACGGTGACTCCCTACCCTTATTTATAACGAAAAAATATTTCTCTGTATACTCCAGTAATACCGACTCATTATACAATGTTATGTGAAAACGTACAAACGTATCATCTCTCTTCCGTAAGGACAGCAGTGCACAATGGACCAGACACGACTAAGGACGAACTGCCCATCTAGGGTTCCCAAAACCTAAAGAACAAGTCCCAAGACTGCAATTCTTAAGAGTACTGACACCTTCATTAACTTTGTGTCATTGTTCGAGACTCCTACACCGAAAATCCTTTCATAAATAATCTTGTTCCTTTGTATACTTTCACAAAATGGAATATAATGTCTGATTGTCCCGGTTCTGGCGAAAGGAAGCGTCTTAAGGGAGAGTCCCAAACACTTACTTTGAGCAACACAAGGTGGCACTTGCGTCGAAGAAAGGGTAAAACTACTGAACATTTCCGCCTTTAAGACAAGAACCCATTTTGTGACAAAAAAATTTTTATATTGCTCTTTATAACATAAGTAATTTTTTCCATGTGTGACGTTTAACAAATGTTTCTTAATTTTCCAAACGTTCTCATATAGTTCTCTTCGTAAATTGGGTTCAACAACTAAATCCAAGTTTTTACTTTATTTCGCATACTAAAAGAAGGCTTCTAGTTGTTTCTCGTCACAACCGGTAGAAACAAAAGTGGACCTCCTTCGACTGTCAGGAGAGAGAGGCGAAACTGGAGAACCGAGACCTGAGAGTCTGCAGACGGGACGACAGCGACGGCAGGGAATCTGTGTCGTAAACGGACGAACGGTTATACTTAATCTGTTCAATGTGCCTTTACTACCATCGATCTTTACTTATTCATAAAAGTGTCCAATTTTGTGTCCTGGGACAAAGCGTCAAACAAGAGGAGACTAAGTAGGTTGCGAGTCCGACGAAAACCCCACACGAGTCCTGGCTAACTTCTTAACTTACCTATTTGGCGGACTTTGTGTTTGTTCCTATATCCTTAACTTTACTCCATTTGTTGTCACAACAATGAGTTCGTTTTTGGACGGAATTGGGTATACGTTCAACAGACTTTCGACGTAAAGCTTAATCTACTCTACCGCGACTTAAACAGGAAGCAACGACCTCAGCTCTAACTCCAAAAAACGCCTCGTAAGTTAGTATTTGAGGAGTTGAACAGCGTATCTATGACAGTATTGTGTTTTGTCTGTCCAATTTTAAGATTCTTGTTCTATTTGAGTGTGCTATGTATATAGATTTACTAAATTTATTTTATGACGTAAAAAGTGTTTAACTTTCTTTTGATCAGGTTGTAAGAGATTTAGATTATCTGTACCGGTGTGTGTTCACGACGTTTGAGAAGGTCGAGTTTTTTTTCTATACCCCCCTTTCATTTGCTATTACGTAAAAAATATAAAAAACATAAACAAAGGGGAAGAAATAGAATACTTTATTCAAGTTCATTATGAAAATGTTTCGTAATAAACCTATATATTTACAGTTCAACCTATAGATCACCATAAATATAGTGAATTTTATATAATATATCGGAATGAATTTTGTGTCTATATATTTTGTATATCATTCTGGGAAAACAGTTACTCCTACACTTTTCATGGGGTGAGACCTATTCACTTCTCTGGTACCTAAGGGTAGTCTGGGAACACAACTTCCGAACACCTTGGAGTTAGTTTCATTTCAAATGTTGTCGACGGGAGACCATAGTGGAGCATCGTCACGTAGTTCCCTGACAACCCATTCAGGACTGTTTTTAGTTGTTACTTACGTGTAAAAATTGTGTGCCTCTCTACTGGAGGAAAACTTTATAAATAATAAATGGACATCATTACGGTTCGAGTGAACATACGACCAAGTGGTCCTTTAGGAAACTAGGTCCCTAAAGAAAAAGAAAAAGTTCACGTTTGTACATGCGGATCCTTTAACGTTTCACGGTCGAGTCTAAAGGGGACTGTGTCCTACATGTTAGAATTTCCACGTTGTTACTTTATTCACGGGAAATTAACATGTAAGGACACACAGTCCCCTTAGACTACCGACCGGAAACGTAAAGGTACCGACATTCACAAACGTGACTTTTTCTTTTCTGTAGGACACCAGTTTCCCTAGAAGGACCACTGGTCGATGTCACTCGCACCGTAATGAATTCATATTATTTATAAATTTTCCTCAAGTAGAAGGAAGGCACACAATTCCTTTACACGTAAAGTAACACGCAAAAACAAGTCCTGAATGGGGTCAAGGAACTACGGTGACGATCTGCCACTATGGTCTCCCGCGACAAACATTGAAATGGAAACCTGAACCTCAAGGTGTTTCGGAAGTTGGTTCCCCGACTACCCTTTAGTACCAAGAGAAGTGAATAGTCCACCCCATGAAAAGTGTAGGAGTAACGTTTTCCAATGGATATACACAAAATTATATAGACACAAAATTCATCGATATATTATATAAAAATATCACATATTTATGTGATTCTACAGTTGAACGTAAAATAATAGGTTTATTACGAAACATTTCTCATAAGGTGAACTGAGAGAAGTCATCTATTTCTTCCCCTTGTTAAGTTTTTATATTTTTCGTAAATAGGCAAATGAAAGGGAGTATAAGAAAATTAAAACCACCTTCTCAAAAACCGTCGTGAACAACACACTCGGTGGTTAACAGATAATCTAAATCTCTTTACAACCTGATCAAAGAAAGTTAACACTCTTTTACGTCACAAATAAAATTTAGTAAACTATATAAATAGACACATCAAATAGAACAACCGATCATAAAATTGACAGACACAAAAAAAACACAACTGTCTATAGATACGCGTTCAACTACCTTCAATACCTTAAACTTACGAGACGTTTTTTATAGGAGTTAGAGCCTGAGGTCGTGCTTCCTGTTTAAGTCAGCCGTAGAGTAGAAATTTAGACTTTTTACGGCGAAAGTTCTGTGAACGTATACACATTCCAGTCACAAAAC